CCTTCCATTTGTTTACGCATTCATAACAGTGTTCATTGTTTTCATTACTCCTACTGTATTTCTCTGTTTCATTTCAAACCATCCCAACTGCACCAAATTAAGGTTATTTTTTGTAATTAAGTGCTTACTTTCATTGATCAGATTGTACCTAGTTAGCCATAAATATTGCTCCAAACATTAACCCTTGCTAATTCCAGCTGTCTCATTTTGTAACCAGTACTCTGTTCCATACATGCATTTACTTTAAGATACTGCATAGTCTATGCTTTGTTTCTTTCCATAAAATGTGATCAATTGTTGGGGTTGACTGCTGGCACTTTTACCTTAAACTCAAGGGGTCCCAAGTTTGATTCTGGGTACATAAACCAACTGTCCTAACATAGCTTTCTTTTGTTATTTACCTCAGTTTGTCAAACTCAATGCCAGGATAGTGTTAGAAGAGACTATGATTGGTTTGTTCTTCATCCTTTCTAAATCATTATTAAATGGGCTGGAATTGGGTGTAAATGCTGGTAGGAGCTGTTTATTTAGTTCCAGTGATTCTTTTTAATGGAGTCATTTCCAGTTCCTTACAGTGTCATAACTGTCATTTCAAACAGTGCAAGCAAGAACATACTCTCTAACCTGCATCATAATAATTTACATTATAACATATATTGATCACAACAAGGCTTTCCTGTGGATTTCAATCATCTGCTGAGCTCTGAAAAACCATTTTCACCCATGATTCACAAATATCCCCCTGTCTGATCATGTAGTAAGGGTTTTCAAATCTTGAAGCTGCTCAAACTTTGTAATATATCCTATTTATGTAAGTGTTTAATATTTTTTTTTCCTAGGCACTACAGCCCCAGTGGACCTAGGCCTACCTCCATGAATTTCTCTGTTCACGTTTAATCTCTGACAGTACTTAAACTGCAGTGCTACTTTTGTAATAAATTAATTAGTTCAAGCTGAAGTACTTTTCTTGCAAAAAAGCCAAATGACTTACAAGGCATTATTATCCTGTTTTGGTGCTGATGTTGGCTTTACTGCAAGAGCAAGTGGCCTCCGTAGTCTAGAGGTAACGTTCCCACCTCATGACTCGTGGTACGCGGGTTCAAATACCCGGCGGAGGTTGTCGAATTTTTAAGGGCGGAAAAATTCAGGGAACAAGTCCTCCGGGAGAGACTTTAAGCTGTGTGTCCCGTGTCGTAACTTTACAGCACGTCAAAGAACCTCATATCCCCAATGGGGATCACTGAGCCAAATTCCAGGACGTTTCCCGCCCAACAATAGCCTCTAAGGCCTCTGATAGATGGGGGAAGCATTATAGACACCGCTAAGCAAGTGGCCGAACTCACTTGCTCGGCGGGACTGATGGTACGCACCATTTATCGTTAGGGTAAAGAGACTGGTAGAATATCAGAGAGGGAAGCACAATAGATCAAACTGGTTGCGGTGCATGGGGAAACCCACCCTCTCTAAATAACTAATAACTACTGAAAGAGCAAGACACTACAGTGCTTTTCCCAAGAAACTGTGTATGCTTTAAGTGAAGACCAATTGTACAGTGTGACTACATAGGTCTGCATCACCTACCAGTGGGCATACCATTCTGGTACATACAACTTCATATAACCAAAGACAATATCTCTGTCTTGTACGAGAAAGAATTCAAGTTGGCAGATTTTATTACATCTTCAGACATTCAAACTGATCTCAAGTCAGCTGACCACACTGTATTCAGTGGAATGATAAATTTGACTTAATTGGACTTGACAGACAACTCGCTACACACCTTGCAAACTGGAGTGTTTTCTGGCCTACAGTCAGTTTAGAAACCGTATTTGAATAAGAATAAGATAAACAGCATTCATGAAGATGCTTTCTGTGCTTTATCAAGCTTACAAATGCTTGACTTAGGTGAGAAAAAGCTAAGTTTTCTAGAAGCTGGCACATTCCAGGGCCTTAGCAACTTAACTGCAGTCTCACTAAGACAGAAAGTGATTGGGACATTTTCTGACCACATGTTTGAAGACCTGCACAAGGTCGTGTTTCTTGATCTCACTGGTACCAACATAAAGAAGCTGAATGCTCAGAATTTGTTGCAAGGAATGGAGAGTTTGTTAGTAATTTATTTCGTTGATAACAATTTAACATGTGGCTGTGAACTGAAAGACACAAGGCTTTGGTTTGCAAACAATAATGTTGGCAGCATTGCTACATGTGCTAGTTTGACAGGGCAGTTATGGATTGTACTGAATCACACAAGCTGTTCACTTTTTGAAACTGGTGGAGTTCCAAAAGCTCTGATGTATATTCACATAGTTATGTTGGTATCTGAGGTACTACTGGCAATAATTATGTTTGTTTATTATCGTCAGCGTTCAGAGACAGAATTCCATAAGAACCAAAAATCTTATATACAGCATCAGAAAGTACCAACGAAGGCATTAGATGATTATTAAACCTGATATTGGTTAAGCTATTGGAGACTGTACTTTAATTTCAACCTCTTAGTGAAGTACAGTTTTTTAAATTTCTTAATTATGTAATTTTTTCCAGCATGCTAATTCCTCTCTTTTAGGTTCAAATATTCTTCCCGGCATCCTGTTCTCAAACATCTTGAATCTATTTTTATCCCCTAATGACAGACACCAAGTTCCACATCCGTATACATAAGAGAGAGCAAAATTATACATTTATATAATCTTTATGTTTTAACATAGCAGGTGGGAAAGGAAAAAGATTTGTAATTGAATGACACCAGGCATTCTTCAGAAATAATCACTTAATTTCTTTGTATCAGCAGTTTTGATTTGTTACTTTCATTTCCAAATTGGTCCAGTGATTGAGGTTAGCTCTTTCTAAGGATCCCAACAGAGTCTCCCCCCTCATCTGAGAATGGAAATTGTTCCAGTTTCCAGCACGTTATGTTTTCTAATTTTTTTAATACTGGGTGATGGGCAAAGTCCAAAAACCCAGTACTTTTGAGTGATTTCCAAATATGTTAGCTTTAGAGTTATAGCACACAAATATGAGCCACATCATTTTTCTGTAATAACTCTTATTGTAGAGGGGGCACATGGTAACGTAAATGGTTGAGGCAATATGCTACAAGCTGGAAGATCATGGGTTCAAGTCTGAATGAGGTGAATGTTTTCAATTTACCGAATCTTCCAGCTGCACTATGGCCCTGGGGTCAACTCAGCCTCCAACAGAAATGAGTACCAGGAATCTTCCTGGGGCATAAAGGGCAGTGAGCATGTAAGGATGACAATCTTACTGCCATCTGTGAGCTGATTGTCTAGAGAAAATGTGGGAGCTTTGACGTCTCACAACCCTATAGGCCTTCACGGTCCGTTACAGGGGTAGTTTTACCTTACCTTCTACCTTTACTCTTATTGTAGATGTTTCATAAGTCCTTGGAGCAGTCCTTATTGAGAACCTAACAGTTGTTCAGCTAATCAAATTTCCCCACATCTTAAGGCACCAAAGGGTTCCTTTCTGTGTTCACAAGAGTCCACCAGCAATCTGTACTCTAAGCCTGATGAAAGCAGTCAACATTCTGCAACAAACATCTGAACTTGGTTGTCATACACTGTGTAGGCAATTTCATGGAAGAAGAGTCGAGAGTGGTCAGTGAGGTTTCTCAGTACGGCATGCCTACAGATCATTGCTTATAGGTATCACAGTTTGATACCAACCTTCACAAAATGTATGACGCATTTGTAAATAATGTTGCCTTACACTGCCTTGGCCATGCCATAGCTCAAGCGATTAGTCGCTGGCTTCCCACTACAGTGGCCCGGGTTCGATTCCGGGTCTGGTCAAGTGGGATTTGTGGTGGACAAAGTGGCGTTGGGGCAGGTTTTCTCCAAGTACTTCGGTTTCCCCTGTCAATCTTCATTCCACCAATTGCTCCACAATCACCCTCACCTATCATCTGGGGCTGGTACAATAGGCCAGAAGTGGCCACAGTATAAGGCACTTAGTCCCACCCCACTAGCAATAAAAAAAATAATACACTGCCTTACAACAAAGAGATTCCTATAAAAATGCACCTGTGATAATTAATGCAGAAGAAATAATATCATGTTATCTCTTCTGTGAATATGACTGCAACAGAGCAATTTTCTGCTACAGCCACATAGTGGGTGGAGCTACTGTTGCAGTTAGAACCCATTTACCAATAATGGCACTCAGAAAGTAGCTCCTCCAAAATAGAAGTCCATAGCAACACAGCTACATGTACACGCTTGGCAGAAAAGTATTACTTTCTAAACCAAAATAAGGTAATTCCCAATAAAAGTAATATATTGTAGCATGCAGACCTGTTGTTAGTCAAACACCATGAAACAAGTAACTATGAAATAGCCGTTGCTAGGTAACAGCTCTGCAAACAGACAAAAACGCAACAATTGCACTGCAATAGAGATAATGTGCTTTCTACAAGGTCCGTGGGGAGATGCTGTAAGCAGAGCCAGTTAGCTGTTAGGGACAGAAACCTCACCCAGCTCATTCCTTGGCTGCAGCCATGCAAAAGGACAACTACAAATGAGAAAAGCACAATGAGCTACTGAGGATCCTCTGGGAGGACATTCTTCTCTAAGTACACCTCTCAAAAGCAGTCCTACACAGCTGCACTTTGTAAAGACAGCAACACCAGCAACCACAGGCAGTGCATACAGATGGAAAAGCATGTGGCACCCCATGCAGCAGCATCTGCCATAGCAGGAAATTCAGAAAAATGGTCTGTCAGTAGAGGCTCCCAGTTTGTCTAACAGTGACAAGTTAAAAGTCACCACTGTTATGCAACAGATCATCATAACAGAGCTCGGTGAAGCTGTCAGAAAAAGACAAAATAATGGTCACACACAAAAATGGTGCTTAATGAAACAAGAAGCTACAAGGGTTTGCATAATTATTGTATAAAATTTAATAAAACAACCAGGTTTTAATAGAAGTAGTTCTTTAATTGAATACAAAATTGATAACATTATATTACAAAGTAAATGTTACGTTTTTAAGCCCTTGAACATTCTTGCCAATAAGAACTTTTCAGCAGAGTCCCCACGGCTGGCAGGTGGTTTTACAACCCTTACATGATTGTAGAACTTTGCAATGTCCTGTTCCAATCTGTTGGATTCACGCCCATCCCATATCTTAAGTAGGACAGATCCACCCACATACGATACCTGCAGAGCAAAGCGCAATGCAGAATATGCCAAATGCACAATATTCTCATGGTCTATATCACGAACACCAGTTGCATTTGGAGCCATGTCACTCAAAACAATGTTAACTTTCTTGCCATTCAGCAGTTCCAGGACTTTCGCTTGGGCAGAAGCTGCTGTGAAATCCACACCACCCATCAATATGGCGCCTTCTATGGGGTATATTGGGTTACGATCGACAGCTATAACTTGTCCGGCAGGCTTCTTGGCATCTGTAAGAACACAACTGACTTCAACTGTAAGATGATCAACAAGATGTGGCCAAAGGTATCTCTAATGTAAAGTTGCAG